TAGTGAGGTTTTTTTATGGATAATACCTTCCATGATGAATAATATATAGAGTATAAATATTGTTAAATACAATCTAAAACTATTACACACAATATATGTGCATGTGTGTGTCTTATATCAAAATTAATTTATGTATATATTATATTGGATTAAAAGATAAAATAATATATATAAATAATATATATATATATATATATATATATATATATTAACAGCTTAAATAGTTTATATTTGTACCCTCTCTATTGCTGCTCTTGTTTTCATTTTTTATTTTTCATCTTCTATAAACATCTAAACATCGTTAATACTTTATCTCCTGTATACTTTAATGTTTTTATATTTATTTTTGTGTTTTAAAAATATTTTTAAAAAATTAAATTTTTTTATATTTTTATTTACTTCAAATTAATATTTTTTGATGTTTTTATATCATTTTAATGCATTGATATCAAAAATAATTTTTAAAAGATAAAAAAAATATATTATTTTAATATATTTCAAAATAAAAAACACTTTAAAAAATAACTGCGTTATTAATATGCCAAATATATTTAAAAAAAACTAACATCATATCTTTAAAATTTGTTCTTGTAACAATAGATTTCACAGTAAAAAATAACACATGTTTATTTATTAGACTTTTCATCAACAATTTAAAAATATTAATTATTATTAAATTAATTAGAAACAAATAAATTTTTTTCATTTTAATTGTACAATAAAAATACACTTGAAAGAAAAAATAATTTATTAAAATTGACTTTAAGGGGTATATTTATATTTTCTATAATTGTTTTTTTTTGTTATTATAACGTCATTTTAGGGGCAATTTGGTGTTTTTGAAAATATAAAAAATAATAAACAATTAAAAACTATGGTGAAATGATAAAAATGTACTTAAAAACAAAAGTTTCAAAACTAAAATCAAAGGGTTTTTTTATCTTTTCAAAATGATTTTTTTTTATTTTCACAAGGGCAATTTATTATTTAACAATATATACATAAAGAAATGCATGTGTATTATATCAAGAAATGCTTGCGCATTTCAAGCGGGTAGCATGCAACACCTCTTGACATTTAAAAATAACTTTTTATTGTGTCTTTAAAAGCATCATTATATCTTTTTTCATATGAAATAGCTCATGCTAGTGTTAGTGATCTGATTTGTTATTGTTGGATTTTTTTAGTTCTTTTCTTTTTTCTCCCCAATATTACAGTTTAGATCTTTTTATTACTGGCATTTCAATTTCAGTCTTTTTTTATTATTATTTTTTTGATTTTTTTGTAAAAACTTTATTTATTTTCAATTTCATTATTCAATCTCAATTTTTTTAAAAAAATTATATTTTCCAATTTGATCCTTATTTTTATGATTTTTAAATTGTTTTCTTGGCCCTTTTCATAAAACTTTCTAGATTTTAATTTTATTCTTCAATTTAAATTTATGGTATTATATTTTTTAATTTAATCTTTATTATTTTAATTTTTAATTTTTAATATATTTTTTTAAAAAAAAACAATCACTATCACAGTAAATCCTATTGTGTTATCTTGATTTTTGAATTCTTCTTGCTTAGGAGCAACAACAAATCAGACCTTTAACAAGAATGGTTATTTTGTTTTATTCTACCCGACCCTCACTGGAATCCCGATATGGTTATCTATGCAGGTAACATGCTTGCTGTACTGCTAAACTGATTTTTTTTGCCCTTTCTTTTCGTTCGTGTAGCAAAATGGAATGCTGGTTCGTCTTTCTTATAATTACCCAAATGCCACTACTTTTTTTTAATTAGCAATGCACGCCCTCGCATCTTCCCGCCCTCTTCCTCATTTTACGCTTGTGTCACCGCACAGCAAGCTCCCCAGGCACCTCTACGTTGCCTCTCATATATATTAACCAAGGCCTAGCTCTATGCTCTACAAATCCAGTGCCATCTCCACGAGTATATTTCTTTTCTCCCCATAATCTCGAAGGTAATTATAAATTAGTCCTTCTTGCTTGAAGATTTACTTCTTATTATTTCTCCCCTCGTAAACCCAGCATCTACCTCCCCTTATTATAGGAAACGTCCTTTACTTGCACTCTGACCGAAAACAATGTACGGAAGAGGTCGACGCGGTGGCTCGCCTGCTCCGACACTGGGAGGAGGGCGTGGCAGAGGACGTGGAGCTCCACTTCCTTTTCCTAGGGCTTCGTCTGAGGCCAGCTTTATCTCATCTATGAGCCAGCTCGGTGGTGAGATGGAGCACCTCAGTGTTCAAACTGAACCACCTGCTCCTACTCAACCAGCGGCTATTCCTGAACCGCAACAACAGAAGCAGCAGCAGCAGCAACTCGTACCGGCTTCCTCTGTGAAGTTCGCTCAAAGACCTGATCACGGTACGGTGGGATCCCGGTGTCTCATTAGAGCTAACCACTTTCTTGTTGAGCTCGCTGACCGAGATTTGCATCACTACGATGTAATGTTAAATTTTTTTCTTCTCAACTTTTTTTTTTTTTTGTTAATTGCTTCAGTTTCTGTTTGCTTCGCGAGAAAATGAAGGGAAATATCTAAGGAAGTTTTTGTGTTGGAAGTTATTATGAGAAGACGTGCTTTGCTTGGCTTTTTATTTGTCACTCCTTTTCTTTTTTTTTAATGGACTTAGAAATAAACGCAGGTTACAAAATAACGCTATTTTTTTTTTTTAATTTCGGTGTTTTCATCAACTAGAAATGTTTTGTTATGTTTTTTCTTTTGCTGTACAAAAGGCTTGTGAATCTGTTCTTGGTTTACATTGTTTTTTAAAAAAGGGTGTGCGTGTTTTGGAAAGAGAAACAAAGCAAAATGCGAGAAATCTTACTCAAGAAGTTTCTAACTGTTTTTTAAAAAATCTCGTCAAACTTAATTTCAGACCAATTAATTCTCTGTTTTATTTATTTATTTTTTGGTTTGTTTGTTTATTTATTTATTTCAACGGGTGAATATGATTATCATCTCTCATTTAACTATATATATCCTCTTTGCTTTGTTTGTGGAGCAAGTAAGATTTATTTTTCCAGGTTTAAAGTTTTAGGAGCAGTGGCTAATCTACCATCGATGCAAATA